CAAGTGGTGCAGGCAAGTGGGCAAGTGGTGTGACTAAAGCAAGCCCATGTTGGAGAGAGTCTAGAAAGTACCAGTCCGGTCCAGCAAGTACCACGGGGGGAACTGTGTGCACCATGGGCCAGGGACACAAGGCAGACCAATGCAGCACAGAAGTATAAATCAAGAGGCTGCGTCCATTCATGATGCATTCCTGCGGATGCCAGGCGGAAGCGCTGCCTTAGCAGCTTGTGAGAGGCGGTCTGCAGTGCGCCCGAAGACGAAGTGGGCAGAGAAGTGTAGTGTAGCGATAGGGTAGAGGCAGCTAGCGCTGCCATAGCTGTAGCATAGTATGTGTGTGTGTTGTGTATAATACTGAGTGTTGCGTGTGGGACATCCAGGGTGATCCAGAGTGCGAACAGTGAGTTGTGTGGGCGCCCAGTCGCCATAGCCAGTTGAAGAGAACTCATATCTGGTTACGATATCTTGAGTATTGTGTGGGCGCATGTCGCCAGTTGCTGTACCGCTGTTTGCAGGCATGACAAAGTGACAAGAAGACGAGTTTGATTTCAACATAAAACAACTCAATTCTTTTATCTATTGACTGGTTGGTTTCGTTGATTGGTTGGTTGATTGATTCATTGATTGGTTGGTTGGTTGGTTGGTTGATTCATCGATTGATTTACACCTAATGTCCCTCCCTCCAAGTTAAGGAGAGCTTCAAAGGAAGCTCGCAAAACCTACACTTGATTATGAGGTTGATTAATTTGATTCATTCCATCAACTGCTGTGTACCTGTCTTCAACTCCTACTCGATGATTTATCCATCAACTGATCAAATTGATTGATTGATTTATATAATTCATCGATTACTTTATTGTCTTTACCAAAACCCTTTTGGCCCCAGGTGCAGCGAGAGAGAGAGACAGAGAGAGAGAGAGAGCGGCAAACCAATCCCTTATATGTATGAAGTGCACGTACATATCATCTGAGGTTCAGATAGGAAGGCATGTCACACTGTGAAGAGCTGCACACAGAGCTTCCGGAACTGCAGGCTGACGATGGGTCTGAGATGCGACTTGTAAGGATTATTCCAGGCAATGAATGGGTGCAAGGGAGACACCTCTCAGGATTGCACCCTGCAGATGACTGCACAGGGATGGAAATCAACCTCGAATACTTTCAAAATTCAGCGAAAAGGATGGAATCATGTAGCGCCCCGCCCGTCCCCCGCCGCCCTCCCCTTCCCCCCCCCCCCCCCCAAAAAAAAAAAAAAGGGCGGGCAAAACTGCTGGCTGTAGATGGATGCAGGGAGACCTCTAAGGACTGCAACCTGCAGATGACTGCACAAGGACGGAAATAAACTCCACATACAGTCACAACTTTGCAGCCAGGGAAAAGGCAGCGGAATTTCTGTAACGGAGCTCCCCCYCCCCCCTCACCTCCTTCCCCCCCCCCAAAAAAAAACGAAAGGGCTACCTTACACACAATGACCTGCAATGAAGAGGAGCCTGCGACCTATCCCCCATACTCACAATTCACCCATTTGCATGCATCCACGTGACTGAATGCAAGCAGTAATCTCTAAACCTCAGAACTTTCTGTGGAGCTTTCTGTGGAACTTTCTGTGGATCTGTGGAACTTTCTGTGCTGTGAAACTTTCTATGGATCTGTGGAACTTTCTGTGCTGTGGAACTTTCTATGGAACTTTCTGTGGAACTATCTGTGTTTCTGTGGAACTTCTGTGAAACTTTCTGTGGAACTTTCTGTGAAACTTTCTGTGGAACTTTCTGTGGAACTTTCTGTGGAACTCATAAAGGAGGTGAGCAATCACGAGGACACCACATCCATTGAAGACGACGACTTTCCAACGAGTAGTAGTTTCAATGCGTACTTTCCAATGAGGACAAAAGGATGACGCTTGCAAAGTCCTGCAGCATTTTAAACTTTGAGAGCTTGAGGGATGAAGACTTTGACATCCTTTCACGCATGCTGATGAATGCCTCGGAACTCGGCTGAGAAAGCAGCAGACAGGACAGGACAACAGTAGCCTTCATCGCTCTGAGAACAACCACCATATCCATCCTTCAACAACTGAGTTATGGGCATAGTCAGGCCCATAGCCAAAAGAGAACCAAAGCCAATCCAAACATGTAGAGAGGGGACCAAAGCCCCTCCAGGCCCACAAAAACCATATCCATCCTTCAATTGAGGTATGTAAACTTTTCAGTGATGCAATAATTGGTTGGCAGCTCCAGAGTCCAGACATGTACAAGGCTATCAAAAGTTTTCAAAACAGAAAAAGAAAAGAAGAGAAAAGAAGAGAAAAGAAGAGAAAAGAAGAGAAAAGGAAAAGACTTATAAAATGAGATCAAACGAGAAGAGAAGGGAAGGGGAGGAGATAGATCGCAACGACTTATGCAGGAGTGGGATGGGGAGAGATTTCTCCAGCCTACTCCTCTTACCCTTGACGAAAGATCAAAAAAAAAAAAAAGTTCAAAACCATCCACGGAATTGCCGAAAGAAACAAAAGAACGATTGGATGTGTAGAGCGGAGAAACATATAGCACAGGCTCACCTTTCTTCAGTCCTTGAAGCTCGTCACCCCCTGCTGGGGGAAGAACTAGCACCAACATATCCACAAGCTCCGCCACTGCAGTGTCACTCTGCCCCCCGCCAACTGTCTCCACCATCAACATGCTGAAACCTGCA